GCAATTCAAGGCTTGAAATTTTTTCATCATTTCTTTCAGCTTGAGAAATGCTGAGCGTGTTCTTCCTTTTGGGCTTTCTAATTCCAGGTCTTTGCACATTTCATTCTAATGCTTAGCTTTGTTTTCTCAAGATACCTTTTGAAATTTTCTTTTCAGCTTTTTTACCTCCTTATTTCATCCATTAATTGTAGCTTCTCCTACACTCAAGGGCAAGGTTTAGAGCCTTTTCTGAAATCCATTTTGGTATTTTCTTTCTTTCCTGTCTCTTTAATGACCTTTTGTTGTTTTCCTGTATGCTGTTCTTGATGCCATCCCACAACTCTTCTACTCTTTGATCATTAGTTTCTAACGCATCATATCTGTTCTTGAAATGGTGGGATATATTCATTCCAATCACCAATAATTATCAGTGCATCTTGATTGTGTGTTTAATCAATTTCAGACTGAAGAAGTTGGTTGTTGTTGTTGTTATTGTGCCGTGGAGTCAGTTCTGACTCACAATGACCCTGTACAGGGTTTACAAGGCTGTAAATCTTTACGGGAGCAGAAAGCCTCATCTTTCTCCCGTGGAACAGGTGGTAGTTTTTAACTGCTGACCCTGAGGTTAGCAGCCCTATTTGTAACCACTACGCTACCAGAGCTCCTTGAAGAAGTTGGTAAAACTCTTCAATTTCATCATCACTGGCTTTAGTGTTGGTGGGTAAATTTGAATAATAGTCGTATTACCTGGTCTTCCTTGTAGGCGGATAGATACTATTCTTTCACAGACAGCATTGTCCTTTAAGCTACGTCTTGAAATGTTCTTTTTGATGAGAAATGTGATGCCATTCCTCTTCAATTTGTTGTATCTGGCATAGTAAACCATGTGATTGTCAGATTCAGAATGGCCAGTACCAGTCGGTTTCAGCTCACTAATGCCTAGGATATTGCTCTTTAGGCATTTCATTTCATTTTGACAACTTCCAGTTTTCCTAGATTCATACTTCATACATTCCATGTTTCAATTATTAAGAGATGTTTACCACTGTTTCTCCTCATTTTGAGTTGTGCCCCTAAAGGTAAATATTGTTTTATCTTTTTCTAAAGGTGTGTGTGTTTATACTCTTTAAAGAAAAAACTTTTTTTGAGTGAAGGCTAATAGAGCATATCATCAGTTTTACATTTGCCCATCTGCAAATCATAAGCTTCTTTTCACTTTAACAATTACAGTGTCCTCAATTTAACATTGCTTTGTTCTTTTTAATTTTTTTATATTATGTTTTAATGATTTTTGATCCTTCCCTACCAGTTTTTCCAATTTATTTGCTTTGTGTGAGTGATAAACTGTTCAAGTCCACACAGTTAAAAAATATATTTATTTTACCCATACTCTTTTAAATTGTGATAAATATTAATGAAGGAGCTTCAGAAAAGTTCATGGGTGGCTCTGCAGAATAAGCACTGGGCTATGAACCGCAGTTTGAGCCTGCCAGCCACTCTGCAGGAGAAAGATGAGGCTTTCTGCTTCTGTAAAATTGTACAGCCTTGGAAACCCCATGCACAGGGTCACTATGAGTTAGTACCAACCTGATGGCACTTAGCAGCAATATGTGTACCAAACCATTTGCCATTTCAGCATTCTTCATACATACGGTTCAGTGACATTATTTTACTCTTAGTTGCATATAATAGATTGAGTGGAAATTAAAGGTTTAAAGTAATTTTATCTCAGAAATTTGATAATACTCTACTTTTTACTAGCTTCTATTACAGGAGCTCTGGTAGCATATTGGTTACGAATCGGACTGTGAACCGCAAGGTCTGCAGTTCAAAACTACCAGCTGTTCTGCGGGAGAAAGATAAGGCTTACTGCTCCCGTAAAGATCTACAGCCTCGGAAACCCTGTACATGGTCGCTGTGGGTCGGAATCGACTCAACAGCTCTAACAACAACAACATTACAGCTATAGGAAGAATTCTTATGTCATTCTGATTCTTTTGGGTTGTTCTTCTCATAGAAACTTTTATAAAACTTTTTCTTTAGGCCTCAGAGTCTGACATTTCACTATCTATAGTGTTTGGTAGCACTGTAGGATAAGTATCAGACTGCTAATTGCAAGGTTGGCAATTCAAACCCATAGCCAGTCCACAGAAGAAAGATGAGGCTTTTCTACCCCATAAAGCTTTACAGCCTCAGAAGCCCTGCAGAGGGTTGCTGTGAGTTGGAATTGACTTGATGGCAGTGGGTTAGTGTCTGGATACTTGTCTCTTCATTCATCCTGCTTAACACTTGGTAGATTCTTTCAGCCTGAGTATTTCTTTGTCTCTGGCATATTTTTACCTGTGATTTTCTCCTGGTGGTGGTGGTGATGTGCCATGGAGTCACTTCCGACTCATAGCGACCCTGTACAGGGTTTCTGAGGCTGTAAATCTTTACGGGAACAGAAAGCCTCATCTTTCTCCCGTGGAACAGCTGGTATTTTCGAACTGCTGACCTTGCGGTTCACAGCCTGAGCAGTCTTCTAGTCTGTTTCTGGAATTCTTATTAGTCAGATTTTGACACTTCTAGGTACATCATCTGTGGCTGTCAAGTTTTTTATTTTCTATTTCTTTATTGTTTTGCACTGTACTTTGGAGGGGAATCCTCAATTAAAACCATCATTTTACAAACTTAGTCACTTCATTAACCACGATTAACTATGTGAAATTAACTTCAGTAACATCATGAAGGTAGATGTTCCTGGTAGCAATGTCATGTGTTTGTACTCTGCCTGTTCTATGTTACAATTTGTCCAGAAATGAACAACTATAGAAATTTGAGTATATCTACTTGCTTTGTGCATTCAACAATCTAAGCGTAGAAACTCATTGCACAATGTTTAAAGTCTCTGACTGGATCTTGGTGGTGCCCCTGTGTAGACCAGAACTCAAAGACATTTGTCACTTCCTCCCTCAGTTAGTTGTAACCCTAATTTCCTCAGCTGTTGTAGCATGTGTGTATCTTTCTCTAAGAGTGCTGTTTTACCTCATTTGTTTGGTGATTTGCTCACCTTTGTGTTTTAATATCCTTGTTCACTGCTTGTTGACTGTTCAGTAACTTTCCTCCAAGGGGCAGGATGCTGATGCATGTCTTCTGGGTGTGGGTGTTCGTTCTCCTTCCCTTTTGAGGTCAGCAGCTCCCTGTGACATGCACTGCTCAGTAGCCCAGCACACATCCTGACTGCTTCTGTTGCCTGCTGCTTAGCACAAACCAGGGAATGGGGAGGGGCTGACCGGTCCAGCTGTTCCAGGTGCAACTCATTGATGAATCATCCTGGCATATGTGTCCACTGACTATGGCTTGAAGCTCTCTTCTAAGCACTCATATTTTTGTACAGTTGTCTCCTATATGTGGCCCAGGCTTTGGTTTCCTTTAGTTCACTCCTGCCTCCAGTAATTTGATCTTGTCTGCCTGCAGGAATTTTTCAAATTGTCTAGACTTCAGATGATCTTCTCTTGTTTTTCTATGCATTTGATTTGTATATGTTAAGTTTAAATGTTGCTTTTTCAGAAAAGGTTCCCCAGCCACCCAGTTTAAAGTAACTTCCCAATTACTTTCTATCTCATCTCCCCAGTTTATTTTCATGGTAGCATTCAGATCTACCTAGTATTTATTTGACTTTTGTTGTAATTTCCAGACCTAAATTATGAGCCTTATATGTGCTGTTTACTGCTGTATCCCAAATGTAGAAAAATAACCTGGTAGATAGTAGACATTAGGTAGAAAATGGTTGAATTAAATGACTTTATCTTAATAAATAAGCTGATAACATGTCTGCCTTAAATTTCATGAATTTTAGATTTCACACTAGGAATCAAGCTTAACAAATATTCTGTGTTAACCTCTGTGCAAGATAAATTTTCATTAACCAAATAGTTGCTTTTGCCCCCACTCCCCAAGAAAAGCTGTCATTAATCCATGAACTAATATAAAAATGCAAATATCTTAACTTCTAGTACTTCATTCCACATGTTATTAAAGCAGAGCTTTGGTGGGTAGGTGGTTTTGCTAAGAATACCATGACAAAACACCCAGAAGAGGCTAGAATTATATTTGATTATACTTTATATAAAGGAGCTCAGGTAGCGTAGTGGTTACAAATCAGGCTGCGAACTTTCAGGTCAGCAGTTCGAAACTACCAGCTGCTCAGCGGGAGAAAGATGATGCTTTCTGCTCCCGTAAAAATATACAGCCTCAGAAACCCTGTTCAGGGTCTCTATGGGTCAGAACCGACTCAACGGCACTTAACAACAACAACATACTTTATATAAACTCTATGGCATATAGTATAGTCTCAGGTAAATCTTAAATTGAAATCCATTATATTCTTATTCCATATTATTCTGGAGCTCCTTTAGGAGCAAACTCAAGTTTTCTAACACAAATTCCAACCTCTTTATCTTAGGTCACCTGGTGTGGCTTTGTGGGTTAATGTGCTAGACTGTAAAGTCGATTTGAACTGCAAGGTCGGCAGTTCAAGCTCACCAGCTGCTCCTGGGAAACCCTATGCTAAGGGCCAGAACTGACTCTATGGCACTTAAAAACAATAACAAGTTAGGTCAAGGATTTACTTTGGTGAATGAGATTTTCACTTTTGCTCTCTGCCTCTTAGAGTAAATTTTGTAACTCTGTACTCAGTTGACCAGTTAATACATGACAGTGATGAATATTTTTTCCATTTAAAACATTGTTTTGAAGGCTACTCCCTTAATTAAACAGAAAAATCCACTTAGGTTTAGTCAGGTTTGCTGCTCATGTAATAATAACTTCATAAAAGAGTTTCATGCCTCCACAAGTTTTGAGTATATTATTATCTCTTCTGTGAAACAAAGAATATTTGTACATATACTACCATTTGGAAATCTGTAGGTTATTTAAATTTGTACCATCAAGAAGGTAAACTTAAGTCTTACAGAACTAACATAGCACTTTTATAATTTTGATGGAAATTTTTTTAATTTTGCCCCACTTTTATTATTTAGGCAAAGATGCAATTTACACAATCCCAGTCAAAAACATTCTTGCTGTGGAAAAACTGGAAGAGAGCTCTTTCAACAAGAAAAATGTAAGTTACATAAATAAATATTTAAAGGTTTTTTTGTTGTTGTTGCTGTTTTTAACTTCAGATACTTTTTAGCAGTTTAAAATTTTTAAGAAGTTATTTTAGTACTTACTATTAATTATTAACAGTTTATAAATTGCTGGCTAAAACGATATCTATCGTGTACGTAGCTTAGTTAAAAGTGCTTTTCATAGTAATTCCCTATTATCAAACTTCCCAGTCTGACATAGTTTCTAAACAGTATCCCCAGCCTATCTGACCAGCCTATCTTTTGCTACCACTCAGTATACACTTAAGCCTACAAGATGTTTTCTGGTTCCTGAATGTTTTCCATGCTTAGTGCTTATTTTTCTGTTACTTCACACTTTTTCTTCCACTTGAAATCTCTTTTCTTATTTATATGATAGTTCATTCCTTTGGACTTGTGTAGGTTTTTAGAATTTCATTCTACAATGTGACAGTATTACCCCTGGGACTCACTTGCTTGAAAAGTGACAGTTCATAAGATGCCTTAGTAGCAGTTATTTAACCCAGCCAACAAGATTTCTGTTATGTACTTCTTTCTGTTTTGTACTGTGCGCTGATTTTTAGACTGTCACTAACTCTTTATCTTAATTATCTCTGAAGATGTTCCAAGTAATACATACGGAGAAACCCCTCTACGTCCAGGCAAATAACTGTGTAGAGGCTAATGAGTGGATAGATGTACTCTGCAGGGTGAGCCGAAGCAACCAAAACAGGCTCAGTGTTTATCATCCCTCTGTGTACCTGAATGGAAGCTGGCTTTGCTGTCAGGAGACCAGTGAAAACACTCTTGGCTGCAAGCCTTGTACTGCGTAAGTTTCTTTCTGATGAAAAAGACAAATGTCTTAAAATGTGGTATATACATACAGTAGAGTATTACTCAGCCAGATTATTTCAAAGTTACATGAATGAACCTTGAAAACACTATGTTCAGTGAAGGAAACCAAACACAAAGAAAATATTCTGAAATTAATAGAGACCTCATGTCGTATGATGACATTTGTATGGAATGTCCAAACCAAGTAAATTCACAGAGGCTAATGAAGCTTAGTGATTGTCAGGGACTAGGGAGGAGGAGTGGGAATGGAGAGTGACTGCTGGCGGGTATGGGGTTGGGCTAATGAAAATGTTCTGAAATTAATAGTCCACACATCATATGATGACATTTGTGTGAAATGGCCAAACTAGATAAGTTCATAGACAACGAAGGTAGCTTAGTGGTTGTCAGGGACTAGTTGAACAGGTCAAAATGATTGAGTTTTAAATTTTTAAAGGGTAAATTTTATAGTATGTGAATTATATCCCAGTAAAGCTGGTATTTTTTTTTAAAGGCAAATGTTTAAAAATGTATGAAGGTCAGCAAGATTATCAAGGGAGAAGGGCTTAGCATTCTTTTTCTTGATTGTCTGAAGCAGTCATTTTGGCCAGTAGATTTAAGTAATAATGAATTCCTTATGGTGTAAAACTAGGTCATGAAAATGATTTTACTTTCCAATTCCACTCCCTATGATAAGAGTTTCAAAACAACCAAACCTCTCTTAGCCCCATTTTATTTAACTCTCAAATGAAGGTTGATTTCTCGATATCCTTCTAGAAAATTCTTTGATTCCATTTTTAGTCTCAATCCATGGGAAGTCTTTGGTATGTTACAAAATAAAATTTCTCCAATGTCTTTAATTTCATTTTTACCTTAGAGGTGTCCCTGCGGACATCGAAATAGATATTGATGAAGACAGAGAAACAGAAAGAATTTATTCCCTTTTTACCCTCAGTATACTTAAGCTGCAGAAAATGGAAGGTAAATATACAATTAATCTATTTTAATATAAACTTTATCCTCCATTAGTAATACCTGAAGTATTGAGTTCTTATTATCATAAAGTTGAGAATATTATAGATTTACTGAAATGTTATTTATGTGCAGATTGGCAACCCCCCAGAAGAGTTTCATAGATACTTGGGAAGTTAAAATTCCATTTTTACATAAATGTAATGATCCTGTTAATAAACTTTATGTATTTTGGTTACCAATACCATGCCAAGGGGAATCATCCTAGCTTGGGACACTTTAAAAAATTGTATTTATACAATGAATTATGTTTATGGGATTTAGTTGTCTGATCAGAGATTTTACTGTTATTTATAGAGGCTTGTGGAACTATAGCCGTCTATCAAGGACCACAGAAAGAGCCTGATGATTATTCTAACTTTGTAATCGAGGATTCTGTAACAACCTTTAAAACAATTCAGCAAATAAAAAGTGTCATAGAGAAGCTGAGTGAACCTCATGAAAAGTATAGGAAGAAAAGATCAAGTAGTGCAAAATATGGGAGCAAGTAAGTATTTTTAAGACAGTGTTAGCGTATTTGTAAACTTTATTTAGGGCTGCCTCCACTATCCTGTGCTCATACCTGAAATGCCTGTTTCTTGCTTACTTTCACCCTTCAAGACCCAGTTGAGAACCTGCTAGACTCAGAGTGGCCTGTGTCTTTTTCAGTTCTGTTGGGTCTATAATTCATCCTCACTTTTACAAATGTTATATTCCATTCATTGCTTCAATACTTTGGGAGCTTTTTGTTCTTACCAGTCCTTACTCTATCTTACATCTCTTACAGTGCCTTATACCTTGTTGTCGTTATTGCTATTGTTGTTGTTAGGTGCCACAGAGTCCATTCCTACTCATACCATAGTAAATATTTAAACATCAGCTGTGAAAGTGCTAAAAAGAAGTATTTTATAGTTGATGCTTTAAATCTTTCTCCGATGTCGATGGATAAGCAAGTCAGTGACATGAACTTTACAACATCACTAGGCAGTGTGCCTAATTATCTACATCTGCATCACTGTAGGTTACTTTTAGCAGCAAGTTATAGAAAACCCCTGTGGAAGTGGCTTAAACAGTAGGTAATACTGTACTCTCATAGATGAGGTCTGACTTCTCAGGTTGATACATTCATCAGCTCAGCACTGTTGTCACTGATCATCCTTCCAGTCAACCTCCACAACAGGACAGCCTCTGTCTCCCTCAGTCTCACCCTCATAGTCAGAGACCAGCAGGAGTTAAGAACCTCACGTTTTCTTTCTTTTTTCCAAGTCACAAATTTTTTTGTTTCATTTTAAAAATCAGTGAAAGAACCTGTGTTCTAGAAATTGCAGTGATCTAAGCAGCAGCAGGTTTATGCATTCATCCTTTAGTTTTTGTTTAAATGTCACACATCATCTGCATGACATTCTGCACTATACAAGCTAATTGTGTAAGGTTGCCCACCTCCATCCCAGGTAGCAGGGTAGGGGAACTATTCTGAAAGATCATTTTCCCTAAAATCTAACCAGACTTCATTAGTGTGCTATGACAAAATTATAAACGATATGAAAAATAACATTTGGCTATCAACTTAAAGACATGGTTTGCCTATATAAATTTTTGTCATTTTTTAAAGGTAACATAGGCTACTCTCATATTTTTTTATTGTTGTTAAGTGCCCTTGACTTGGTTCCAACCCTGTATTGGGTTTCCGAGGAGCAACTGATGGGTTTGAGCTGCTGACCTTGTGGGTTAATAGTCCAGTACTTTATCCTGTAGTGCCACACCAGGACAGGGCCTGTAGAATTAAAGCATAATGAACAGGAAAGAAAAAGAATTCAAGTAAGTGCTAGGCAGAGCATCTTGCCAGAAGCAGTGAAGGTAGAGGAGATACTAAATATCAAGTGCAGAATTTCATACAGCCAACAGGATAGCTTTATGTACCACTTACACAAGGAGCCACACATGTTCTCAGCAGGGTCCAGAGGCTGAACAAGGCTGTTTCCTCCTTATTTTAAGACAAAGGAAACTTAACCCCTTTTTCCTGAAATACAAAGCTACCTAATATTAGACCAAAATCAGGATTCTATTTGCAAGAAATTGATAGGAAGGTAATGGTTTTTGTGTTGGCAACTAACAGTGTTTGCTACAGTATGCATTCTCTCTTTGTTCCTCACAGCAGTCCATCATAGTTTTATCCCCAATTTATAGCTAGAGAAAATGAGGATCATTAAGTACCTTATGGAAGGTTATACTGCTGATGAGTAAGGGGATTCTAAAGACTAAACCAACCACTTTGATGTGTGGATTAATAATGAGATCATTGGTATATGATCAACAAAAATTTACTGTATTAGTTTAAATGTTTATGCTTGCCCCAGTTAGAAGAGTACATTAGAAAGGTTAATGTAAGCATCCCAATGCTAACTTCTCTACATATACATTTGCTTCTCTTTCAACAGTAGTAATTTGCTTTTATTGGAGCCCCAGAAAGTTTCTGTATGAGGTCCTAGGCAAAACCTTGCCACCCATATTAAATAGCATCCTCTTCCCTATTAAAATATACCAACGCTGATGTACCAAATACTTGTTTATTTTCCCCATACCAGAATGTAAGCTTCATGAGGCTAGAGGTTTTGTCTGTTTTGTTCCCGATGGTATCCCTAGCTTATAGAACAGTGCCTGGCGTTAAGTAGGTTGTCAGTAAATGCTTGTTGAATTAATGAAGCAAGACTTGGCATGAGAGTATGAATACCTAATGCATTCTATATTTGTCACTTAGAAAGTATTCTATTTTCCAGATTTTGAAAAATAATTTTGTTTTATTGTTTTCTAGGGAAAATCCAATTGTTGGGAAAGCATCTTAGAGTTTAACCAATAGATTCAGAAGAACTGGAAAATACTATTTTTGTTGGAATTTTTAATTCATCACCTATTTTGCCCATAGTATTTAAGAATGAACATTGGCTTTCGTGTCACCTGTGTTCACATTGTATTTAATATTTAATATTTGAAATTAACTGAGAATTCTGGTATTAATGTTTTCGGGTGAATTTGAAACCCAAGATTCCCTTCATAACTTACGTGTCCAAAGCCATGCATCTGTAACTTCTTTCTAATAGAAAGAATCTTCCTAAAGAAGATCTTCAAGAAGCTTTTTAACAAAGGGAGAACTCCTCCATAGCAAGAAACAATCTCTTCTTGTAACACTCCATGTTCTGTGAACTTGTTTTCACTACCATTAGTGCCTGTTCTATACTGCCAATATTGTGTTTTATTAGAAAATTCCAATCCATGACAATTCAGAGCTTCCCATTTAGTTCTTCTAAGCCCTCCCCCTCCTCTTTGAGGGGCGGGGGGGGGGGGAAGATTTTCCTTTGGTCTATTAAGTGTTACGGGTTACATTAGGAACAGTGACAGAAACTATACAAAATGACTAGAGCCTCCTTGAAAACTGCTAGATCCTTTTGCCTATTTCCAGATGTAAATAGGACTGAGATAGGAAGAATCAGGGAATCTGCTCATGTGTGCATCTTGTTTACATTTAGGATGCATGATGGCAAAGAAAATCAAATGAGACCACTCAGTTTTTACCCATTGTATTTGAAGATCAGGTACTCATTTTCTTGATTTGAGAGTTCAGGTTGACATTACTTCCAAGGACATCTCTTCTGAAGAAGAAAAGGAAGTGGACAGTAAGAGCAGGTGATGTGACTCACTGAGCCCACTTGTGATTTCCTGTTGTTGTAGGGGCCATCTCCAGGCCCCTCTCGTGGTGTCAGGTTGTGGTCTCTAACTCAACAACAGTCACTTAGTGCACTTTAATAATCTGGACCGCCCCAGATTAGGCTGGAGATCCTCCGTGGTATCTCATCTTTATGATCAGTTCAATGATCAGTGTTTAAGTATAAAAATAATACTTTCCTTAAAATGTTTATATTTCATTGCTTTTTCCTTTTTGCCTGCTAGCCAAATGGAATTGGGTGAGCAACTATTGGAATCCTCTTTTTCCCTAATCATTTACTTATGTTCTAAAAACTTTAATTGTAAATAAGCAGTTGACGTAGGTTGCCACCTTGCCATTAAAGAGGGATACACTTTGTTGCATCAGTATTAAAACCATGGTACTCTTAGTTATTTTTTTAATTGAAAACATTTTCTAAATGTGGTACTTTGGTTCTAGAGTATTTATACATGTTTCTGTTTGAAACTGTGACTTATTAATGTAACTCTACCTAGTAGTGCTTTGTTTGGTTTCCCTGAGCATAAGCTATATTTCAAGATATACCTTGGCAGTTATGTAGGCAATTATTTTTAAATTTTACTGTTATTAGGTAATTATTTTTAAGGACCCTTTGGCATACAATCAAAAGTGTTCCATAAATGATTATAACTGAACTACCACATAGTTCTCTAAGTGACTTGTAAAAATCAATTGGTTGTATTTAATTAGTACTAGTGTACATTATGGTGGTTTATTACACCTGACATGTGTTAAGGACAAGTTTGAAAGAGTCTTTTTAATTTTATGAATTTATAGATTGCATAAACTGTATTGATTTGTAAATCAATGTTAAATGATAAAAGAAAATCATTTGATAAACTTCTCAATCTTGAATTTCATTCAGATGAAATTTTCCTTTTAAGAATCTCTGAAATATTCTATTTGAAAAGGGCCTGAGTATTGCCAGGTACTACTCATTGGTTTTTAGTGAATTTTATTTTTCTGTTCTTTTTTTGTTTTAAAGGAAAAATAAATATATCTCTAATGTTTCTATTATATAATCCCCAATTATGATTGTTTAAGATCACACAGTGTTATCAAAGGAATCAAGGCTGTGTGTATGTATAACTCTGGGTTTTTAGGGAAGGGCTAGTCATCTAGTTATTTTCTTCATATGATACTTGTAGCCTGTTTGCCTGGAATTAACCAGTTTAGCACAACCTAACAGTGTAATGTGAAATTAAATTATTTTTCTTTGCAAGTCTTCTTGAATGAATGATTGTGTCCGTAGCAGCCTAAGATAACCACGGTACTTGTTTCTAGGGAATCTCTTCCCTCTGCCATTATTCAGGAGTACTTTTTTAGTACGGGATCCTCTTTACTCTGCATTTTACTCTTGAAAAAATACGTGGCAGCTCACTCACCCTAAAAACCTGAAACTCCAGGAATCCGGGGATAAAAGGATGATATGAGGAAATTCTTGCCATAAATGCTAATTCTGGTTCTTAGTTTAGTCATTTCCATCAGTTGAAAATATGGTAATACGTTGCTGGTTTTGTTGTAATTGTTTTAAATTTTCGTTTAGCTTTGTTTTGTTTTGTTCTTAATATGATGGGCAATACTAAAGATTTTTACTCCCAGGAATGTAACTTATCAAATTGTTAAACTATTTTAGTTGCCAAAGAAATACATTTTTAATGTCATAGATTATGATTGTCAAAACTAGGCTCTTTTTTAACCCCCATACAAAAAAAAAATGGTATGGCATTTGTTTCTGTTTTTGAAGCCTATTCTCATTTATCAAAAAGGCTCATTTATGCCTGGTTTTGAAAAGCAGATTATCTTTTCTTTAAGTGAAAGCACCTTTAATTTGCTCTTAACGGTACATCCTGTAAAGGCAGAATGCTGCAGAGCCAGTTAGGTGTCCTTACAGTAGGTGAAAAATACAAGACGCTTTCCAGAGTTAAATTACCCAACTAGATTGATAATATGTGCTTCCATTTTGGTTAATTTAGAAATTAATATGTTGCTATCAAATATGATTTTTACAGTGTCCTATTTGAATATGTAAATTATCAAAACTTAATGTAGTGAATTTATGTAACCATGTTGTATTGTAAGAATGTATTTTTATTTAAATTTTATTTTCTTATCAAAAGTATTATAAAAATTAAAACTTTTGTATCTGTTGCTTAGAGATAACTAAAATAAATTACAAGAAGCCTGTCTATTCTTTGTAAGAGCCTACTTTCTTAAAAATGTCTTTAGAAATTTGTTTAAAATTATTACACCTTGACTCTAAGTAAGGGTTTATTGATAGTTAGAAGCAATATGGAAAGTTTACTGATCGTGAAGCAATATGGAAAGAGCTCAGTAGATTCAGGAGGCAAAGAGACCTTCCCAAGGAGGAGGGTGTACTTGGCTAGGCCAGTACACCTTGTAGGTTCAGCCGATTGCATGAGGACCTACAGCGTGTAGACACAGTGCAGACTCCTGAGCCATTCCCCAGAGCCACACAGCATCCAGTGTTGCTCCCAACATGGATAGTCAGTTTAGAGCTGAGGGTTTTCAGTAGATATTTGACTTTTTGAAGAAACCCACTTTCTACTCTTGTAAAAAAAAAAAAAAAATCCAATGTTGGATCCTCAAGGTGTTCTTCTTATTAAGTGCCTTATCTTTGTCCTGCAGAGTGGCTAGTGGACTCAAACCACCAGTCTTGTGCTTCACAGTCCAGTGCTTATCTTACAGAATCACTGTGCAAAAATCAAGTTACTAGGGATTTATTCCAAGATGGGAGTTCACTGGAGGGTTTGAGCAGCAAAGTTGGATGCTCAGTCTAACTCTTTTGACTTTCTTTGACTAATGTTGATGAAAGTATCAGAGTGGGCCTAGAAGTAAGTAAGAAAATAAGGTGAGAGAGGGTGGTGGCTGGGTCATGGGTGTTAGCACAAAGGTGAGAAATAGTCAAATTCTGGTTTTGTATAGTATCAGAACCAACAGAATTTGTTGGCAGGTGGACTGTAGAAAAAAGAAGGGTTTAAAAAGATCTAGTAACCTAAGCAACTGAAAGAATGGAGGGGTCATTTATTGAGAAGGGAAGATTCTAGAAGGAGCAGCTTAGTCTGTGTTCTGTGTCCATGTTAATGATTCTTGAAGACCAGGCCATTTAAATCACTTAATAAGTACCAGCACATGTTTTATCTAGTTTGATAGTCGTTTACCGTTTCTTCTTTACTAGCTTCCAAATGGTTCCAATTCAAGGGGAGACTCTGTTGTACCACACAGTCTCTAGCCCCTAGAAGAGGAAGGCTCAGTAAATATTCACTGTACGTGTACAGTGAAATGTAGATGGTAAAGTCGTAAGTTGAAAAATCTTGACTTTAATTAGGAACTGCCTCTATGATCATGGTCAAGTAATTCCTTTGGGTTTTGGTTTTCCTACACATGTAAAAATTTCAAGTTTGTATGTTCAGGAAAAAAACTACTGGACACCAACTATGCGCCAAGCACTGTGTGAAACCAAAGGCCTTTAGGGTGCCGCCCTCAACTTGTTCTTACTTAAGCTAAGGACTGGACCGGAGTGATCCGAGAATTTTCCAGAAAGACAAGTTTAAAATCCAGACAGACAAAAAAGCCTTAGGGATTTTTGCCTCACAAGGCTATTTGGTAATGTCTAGAAACATTTTCAATTTTCGCAACGAGGGAATTCCTACTTGCTTCTGGTGGGTAGAAGCCTAAATCAGAGTCCAGGCTCAGGGCCACCCACTCTTGCTATCTGCTCTTTTCCATTGAAAACATACTGGGCAAAGAGAGAGGCTTCTCTGCCCCCTTTAAGTGTTAACTAAACAGAAGGTATCTGCCCAGGCCTCAATAGTAGTACTGCCTCATGGTAGGAGATGGCCCCCTCAGTTGCTTCTGGTTTAAAAACCTTCACTATTTGACTTGTCACATTCTAAGAGTCATCTTTTCAGAGTATCTTCTATCCCTGATGTCCACATCATCTAAATGTTCCTGACCTGGGAGGAAAGAACCTAGGCACCCTTCTACTCCTGCCCGGCTCTGCCTTCACACCCTCCTCCCCGCAACAGACCGCAATCACTAGCTGGAGGGCAGTGTTGTGGTGCTGGTCACTGGGGTCCAAGGGAACTACAGTTCTAGAAACGAATGGCCTGGGAGACAGTAATGTGCATTTTGTGAGCACTTTTTAACATAATCATCTCAATGGCCCTCACACTAAGGAAGACTTGACAGTCCAGCGAGGCAAAGAGACCTTCTCAAGGAGGAGAGTGTAGATCCAGAATTGTCAACTCCTCAGGCCAGTGGGCAAAGTGAACAGCAGTGCATGGCTTAAAAGAACTTGAAATGAGACTAGTGAGTATGTTGGTGTCTGTGAGCTCACATCCCTCTGAGAAGTTCGGGCAGCACCACAGGATACAGCCTGGCCCTCCGGCCAACCTCAACACACAGGCTGAATGAAGAAACAGGAAGTGTTGTGGACAGGCCCCTGCCAGGTTTGACCCACAGCCCACCTCAAAAACCACGCCTGACACCGCACAACCTAAGGAGTGGGTTTCTCTGAGATCATTGGCCCTGGGGGAAGTCTGGAGCATGGCCAC